TGCAGTTATTCATCATTTGAGCACTCGCCGAAGAAGGTTCATTTATTCTCAGCAATTTTTATGATGGAGAACACGGCGAAAGAAGAGTCATTTGTCTTGTATGATCTATTGTTGCTGTCTCTCCCCTTGATTGTTATCCATTTTTTGCTGCAAAAGTTGCACAAAACGTATGTTGTATGTGTTCAAAAGAAACTAGGAAGCTGAAATTTTAGGAAAATATTTCCTGTTTTTGTGTTTTTTATTAGTTTTATTCAGTTGGAAGAGGCCGATACGAAATACAGCTGCTTAGATGAAAGTAAGAAAGCTAAACTAATTGAAGTAGAATGGAATAAATAGCAACGCGCACCAGACTTGCCGGTGCAGTCATGAGTTTTATGCAATTCAGCCCATCGGACAATTGCCTGTTGATGATTTTTACTGCTTTGTATTTTAGTCTATGAAAAAATAGTTCAAACATTGGAAAATAGTTAAAAATCTCACGCACCAGCGCATGAAAGCTGAATCCGAAACCTTGAAGAATGAGTATCTTTGTTTGATTCCCGAGTTAGTTTGCCCGTCAATTTTCACGAGGCCGTAGGTGATATTCAGGAGCGCTGGAAAGCTGAATTTGAATGGGCAAGGTTGGGCGTGGACAGGGGGTCATTACCCTAAAATTTCAGCCTCCTAGACTCCGTGGTTCCCGAAATATTAAGTTACCCGTAAAAATCTTTCACGGAGCCGTACGTGTTAACCGCGGGTACGGGCATGCTGAATTCAAATTTACGCGTCACCCGCTGGCGGGAAACACTATACCAAAATTTCAGCCACGTAGCTTTTGTGGTTTCCGAGTTGAAAGTGCGGGACAAAACACACACACAGACAACCCCGTGACAGTGTACGTTTTGTAATGCTGTTACACAGCACAAAACGCATAAAAACAGCTGGAAACGAGGATACTTGCTTCCATCCCTTCGCCTGTCCTTTCTATCTCCTCTCTTCTCCCAATCAGCACTCCCACCAAAAAAATATGGTATTTTGATAATGCGCTTTATACCCATCGTATTCATGAAAGGCTTTATCATCAGAATGCAGTTAGAAGAGCATGTTTTCCGGTTATCCCTTTAAGAAATTTGTCCAGCGTTCTCCTCCAAAAAATTTCTGGCTGAGCTGCGATTCTGAATTATGCATATTTGAACTTGATAGATCTCGAAATTTCTGATTCTGAAAAATTCAGACATAGATCTTGACTTCGTTCTTAAAAAAATATACTGTACCTGTAACGGATGTGCTCTTCAGCCTATGCATATGGTTGGTTAATTAACGTGTTGCAGGTTGCAAACTATTCGGGAATTGCTGCGTGTTCTAGAACCAGGCGGGGAAGGATGTATTTCTGTATGGGCCTACGAGCAAAAACTGTCAGACGAGCCATCGGAGTACCTGAAAATGCGCCGCAAAAAACGCGATGTACAGGTTACATCCACTAGCTTCTTTTTATCATAAATACTTTTGCATGCATTTCGTGGCATCACCAACCAAGCCTTGGAAGACAAGCAAAAATATTCCATTGAGAAATTTCCTCCAATTATTTCCTCCAGCTAACTTTTTCAGCGATTGAATTACTTTTCCGGATTTTTTAGATTTTTCACAGTTGTTTTTTTTTTCTTCGCAATTTACTTCTCCTCTTTTCCATACTGTGTTTCTTTAGTCAGCGGCTTCTTCAGAACTTAAGCGAAAAATAGCAAAATGGGTTATAAAATTTTTTCGATTTTTTTGATGAAAAAAATTGTTTGCTGTGCTTTTGTCGACTCGGTACTTTTTCTGGTGAATGCTCATAGCTGAATGCTTGAGACAACTATGCTTTATAGTCTGGTTCCCCAGCTACGCGGCTGTAACTTTTCCGCTAACTTTATCCGGTATTGCATTGCCTGGCAGCCAGTCTGTTGGCGATCTTGACTCTCTTTTTGTTTCTTCACGAGACCAGCAGCTCAACGGATCATCCGACAAAAAATTTTGGCCTGATTCTAACTGTTTTGAGAGTCCTCGTTGTTGTGCTATTAACCATTATCACGTCGTCTTGAAATTTGTTTCGCGCAGCGATGAGAAATAACTTGTCCACCAGGAGGAGATATGTGGCATTGATTGCCGTTTGCGCAGACTTGGTAAATGCAGTGTGCACTGAATGTTTTCTGCCAATATTTTAATTTTTATGCATTTTTTTCCTTTGCATATATGCAAATGCAAAAACGCATATTTTGAATACCCATGATGTGCGTGTATTTTTGTGTGCTTATGTGTGTGGGTGTGCGTCTGTCCGGGTATTTCATCTTAGCAATCAAGCAAGAGGCTTCCCCAGTCAAGTGCACTCCAAGACTGCGGTACTAACCTTTATGTATGTCTGAGCCTCGCGTATGAACACGTGAAAGTCTTGGCGGGAAAATCGCTAACTCGGTTACTAGATAGGCTGAGAAGCTAAAATTTTAAGGGGATGTTACCAGGCTACGTACAACCTAGAGATTTCAGATACAGCCCCCAGGCTTGCGTGGTTCTTGCGTGCGGCCCGCGAAGATTTTTGTGGGAAAATTGCTAACTCGGGAACTAGGAAAGCTGGGAGGCTGAAACTTTAAGGGAATGTTCCCAGCCCATGTACAACTTAGAGGTTTCAAATTCAGCCTCCAGTTGCGTGTGATTCTCACGTACGAAGCAGGGAAAATTTTTGGCGGGAAAGTCACTAACTCGGGAACCAGGAAAGCTGGAATTTTGACGGAATGTTCCCTGTTTAGGTGCCATATTAACTTCTTGAACTTCGAGGACCAGTACGTTACAAATTCTAGCTACTAGGGCTCCAATCGATTTTATTACAGCACGAAATACTTCAAAAGTACATGGCCGCATAGGCCCGCCTGATGCGGGTCGCCAATAACTTATCAAAAATCGTGACAATTTTTTATCGCGATAATGCATCAGCACTGCGAGTACAACAGGATTATTAAATCTTGCTTATGGCATGGGCTTTTTTGCCAACACGATAGAAAGAGGGATGATGGCTCCAACTGAGCAGCATCGTCTGCTGAATTAATGAATTCAGAGGATACTTGAATAAGTTGTTACTGAAGCCGTATCGGTAACCAGAAAACTGTCATCGAATGGTTGATGGATGTTATTGGTTTTATAGGAGTAAGCGCTTTGCAGATGAATCGACGTGAGAGTAATGGTAGATTACGAGTGCATGAGGGCAAAGAGTTCACACAACACGACATGCTTGTACCTTTCCAGAACGCTGATGGAGCTCGTTTTCTCAGGTCTTTTTCTTGTTTCAAATAACTCAGAATATCCTAGAGGTATAGTTATGGGAGACTTTGGTGAACACTGGATTTTAAACTGTTTGGAAAAGCCTATTCCTCCTCCTTAGAATTGTTCATTCGCTTTGATGACCAACTTGCACACTATCCCTCACCACTTGAGCCAGGTCGAGAACTCAGGCTCTACAGGAATTTAATTATTTGCCAAGAATTAAATTCCTAAAGAGCCTGGGTTTCGTTAGCTTTCTCAAGAGAGTGAGAGCCTTCCTAGCGGTGTGATCACGGAGAATTTAACAAAAAATTTCTAATTCTGTTGAGCAATTAATCTGTAGAACTGAATTCCGGGTCTGGATTCACATCAGCAGCATGCTTGCCTTAATGAGGCTGACGAGTTTTGGCAGTTCGTAGAATTTGGACTAGAATAAGTGAACGGCATCGGCCATTACCGCAGTTGCTTGTTCCTTTGCAGTATTTGCTTTCTTCAGTTTTTATTATGCGTTTTGTGCTGTGTAACAGCAATACAAAACGCATATTGTCACGA